TACACAATTTGAGAAAAGTGAAAAAAAGTAGAGGCAAGAGGGTTTTAGAGGTTAATTCTTTACAAAGTAGTAAGAGTGCAAGGACTGAAACCACTAAAAAAGGAGGAGCAACTGCGACATTGAGTGAGAAACTTGATAGTATGTTACAAATTATTGGAGAAAGAACTAATGTATCTAATGAGGTGAATATGTCACTTATGGATGTTTTGACTTCAATGAAAAACCCAAGTCCTAATGAAAGTTACGGATGCATTGGCAAAATTGTATGTTTTGCCTGATTTTGAATTCGGCACCCCTGATTTTTTTTTTTTTTTTGCTTGCACGCTAATTGAAGATCCAAAAAAATGATTTGTTATCTCTGGATTACCAAATGATAAGGTGAGAGTTGACTACATCAAGTTCTTGTATGAGAAAGAAAACAAGCATTAATGGTTATGCATGGACTATTATGTATTTGGCTTTGGTAGTGTTATGTATTTTTCTTTAGTAGTGGTTATGTATGAACTTTTATGTACTTTCTTATTGTATGAACTATTATGAACTTTTATTGTAGGAAATGTTATGTAATTTACTATTGTTTTATTATGAACTCTTATGTAATTTTTTATTGTATGAACTATTATGAATGTAATTTCTTATTTAATGAACTATTATGAACTCTTATTGTAGGAAATGTGATGTAATTTTTGTTATGAACTGTTATGTAATTTATTATTGTATGAATTATTATGAATTCTTATTGTACAAATGTTATGTAATTTGTTTATGGTTTTTAACAGTATGAATAGGAATTCTATAGTAAATAAACTAATTTGTGTGTAGGCAACAAGACATGGATAATACTGAGCAAATTATGAAAATTATCATAATTAAGGAGTACTTGGACAATGAGGATGAATTTTGGGACTTAGTGGCTTGTATGACCGGGTATATGTCTGTATACTTTTTGAAGCATATTTAAAAGAAGCCATGCATGACTTCATGTTTTAATGGGAGAAAGATGGTAAATGAATTAATGAATAGTAATGAGAAACGATGTTTTAATGTATTTAGAATGAACTCAATTACATTTTGTCATTTATGTGTAGATTTAGAAACCCTTATTCTCCTGAAACATCTCTTTCTGTCTCACAAAACCTCACTTCTTTTTTGGGCGTTTCTTCATATGGTAGCCGTTGGCCTCTGGCCAAAGCTTTGTGCATTTGACAAAGCTTCGTTTCTTGGCCGACGGTCTCCTATTTTCTTTTGTTTTTTGTTTTTTTTTGTTTTGTTTCATAATAAAGTCCACTGTCGGTTCAGCCACCAACTCTTCAAGGAAGTTGCGGTAGTTCCAAAGATTTAAAGTTTAAGGATTCCGTCAGATCTGGATAAAGAAGTTCAAGAGGTGTACTGCTGCTTCGCTTTTCTTTAGTGTTCTGTATTTTTCTCTCGTTTGTGTAATGAGTTTGTTTTCTTCTCGTTTCTTTGACAAGTTCTTTTCTTCATAAGTGTAAAACATATAAGTTGGGCATGGTGTATGTGAACTTCATCCTGGGTGACAAAGATGAGAATGTAAAAGAGCATCTGCATCTCAGCTCGATGGATATATTGTCAATGAACGACAAATGGAAAACATATACTCAGGTGGTGTGCAAGACTTTTCAACCAAAGTTAGTCTTGACTACGTTGCATATCAATTCTTCAATGATATTAAAGAAGCGTTAAATTCATCTAACGAATTCAGCTTCAAATTTGTGAAACAGTCTGCGATTCAAGTTCTTTGTAGCATTGCTAGGGAAGTTGTTTCTATGTCTGACTGTAAGGAATGATATATAGTTCCATCGATCTTATTTGCAATCGCTTCGGCTTATGATTAAATGAATGAGTTCCTTTATTTTCAAAAAAATAGTATGGTTTGAGGGCTTCGAATAGGATCTCAACTTTAGAGAAACTTGGTATATTTGAATATGTGCTTAGTAAGGGTGCTTCTAATAGAGATCCATATTGAGCAAAAGCAAGTCATTTTGAGCCATGCATACGAGTGCCAGCAAGCTATTGAAAATCCTAACTCCTCATACTTTACCTTTCTCCATCTCCGAAATCTATACATGTACCTGCCTAAGTATTTTGGATCAAATTAATGAAATCAAAAGCTAAAGATTAAAGATAATGTTAAGCGCAACTTTATTTCCGTCCAACAATCTTAAATGTTATTGTTGGGACTCAAACCCATCCAACAATCTTAAATGTTATTGCTGGAACTCAAATCTGTGACCTAGCTCTGATACCACTTGTTAGGATCAAGCGCTTACCATTTATGCCAAAAGCTAGAGTTAGTAGCGCAAACTATTGAAGGATACCCCTGCTGAATAGGGGAACACACGTGAAGAAGGTGCACAACAGAATAGTGGAAAGTAGCATAGTCTATCAGTTAGAATTAGCTTCAATTTGTTGAACAAGTATACTAGTTTGTTAGAGTATAACCACGTACTTAACAGATCAGTTAGACTCTTGTATATATATATATATATATATATATATATATATATATATATATATATATATATATATATATATATATATATATATATATATATATATATATATATATATATATATATATATAGGGTTGCAAAAATTGGCCTAGGCGGTGCTAGGCGCCCCTAGGCCTTGCCGTTTTCAGTAGTAGGCGGTGGAAAATTGGCCAGCCGCCTTAGGCGGTCAAAGTCGGCCGAGTCGGTCAAAATCGGTCGGGTCGGTCAACTCGACCGAGTCGGCCGATTTTGACCGAATAAATTGATTTTTTTTTTGGATTTTTCACTCATAACGACGTCGTTTTAAGCGAAAAACCCAATTAAAAAATCGAAATTAATAAACGCACAAAACGCTGAAGTAAACCCTAGCTCCCCAACAGTCTTCACTTCTTCTATTCTTCAGTTGTCCTTTCTCTCTGTATGCCGTTGAACTGAAGTGCTGAAGACCTGAAGTGCGAGTCAAAGCCCGTCAGTCGAAGGTCCGGCGTTAGGCGTCTACTGAAGTGGCGAACTGAAGCTCTAGCGTGCGTCTGCTGAAGTGCCGAACTGAAGCTCCGACGTGCATCTACTGGTCCGATTATGGTCTGCCGTCTGCTACTGCCTACTCAGCCGTCTGCTACTGCCTACTCCGCTGTCTGCTACTGCCTACTCTGTTGTCTGACTGCTGTATGTTTTTTTTGTTGTTAATTTGTTATTTTTGCCGTTAATCATCAATTGTCGTATGCTACGGTTGCTACCAGCTACATTGCTACTTAAGAATTAAGTTATTGATATGTTATTATGTTAATTGTTAAATGTTAATCAATTGTCAATTTGCCGTATTATGATTTATGCATCATTTGTTAATCAAATCAAATTTTCAAATACACTAAGCAGTTAAGCAGTGTGCAGTATCTATAATTCCATATTTGTTTTTTAACTCTTTATTTGGAGAAAATTTCAATTTTGATCCACTGACTATTGCACTTGTGTTAATTGCAACACTTGACTTTCAAAAATGTTAATTTAGTACCTTGACTATGCAATTTCTATCAATTTTGGTCACGCCCGCCAAATGTGACCGGAAAAACTTAAACATTTTTAAATTTTTTATTTAGGGGGGCAAAACAGTCATTTTACGTTAAGCAATTAGGGTTTGTCACCGACGTTGACGGAAAAAGCAGCCGGAGTAGGAGAAAACTAATTCGTCGGCTCTTCAATCTCTGCAACTCAGGTAGATCCATGGTCCACAGCATCACCTTAGCCACAATGGCCAAGGTTTGTTTGAGTAAAGTGTGCTTACTTTTTTGCTGTTAGAATTTGTGGTTTATTTTTATCGAAAGAGTTAGATTTGGAATTTCCCAATTAGATATAAAATGATCGATACAGTTCTTATTATAAGAGACTACAACCTTCATTTTTTTAAAACAAAAATTGGTGGTAGTGATTTTTATATTTATACACCTTCAAATATTTGTGTGATGTTCACAACAATTACCGTAGTGATTATGTATATCAACTTGCTGGGTGGGTGGGTGGGTCTCGCCATGCTTCCGTCTTCGTTAATTTGGCCGGAGGTGTTGAGGAAGAAGAAGCAATAATTTTTTTTTTTAACGTAAAATGACTGTTTTGTCCCCATGAATAAAAAATTTAAAAATGTTTAAGTTTTTCCGGTCACATTTGGCCGGCAATTTGGCCGGCATGACCAAAATTGATAGAAATTGCATAGTCAAGGTATTAAATTAACATTTTTGAAAGTCAGGTGTTGCAATTAACACAAGTGCAATAATCAGTGGACCAAAATTGAAATTTTCTCTCTTTATTTGTTAATTGTTACTTTGTTAGTCAAAATGCATGAATTATGATTCAATGATGAATTGATGATTAGTGATTTAGTGATAGATGTTCGTTGGTGAATTTCGGATTATAAATTTGTTAATTGTAAATGTGAAATGAATTATACATTTATTGTGTAATGTACTAATGTGTATGTTTTTTAGTGATAATGGCTTCATCAAGTGCTTCGGCTACTCAAAGTATTAGATCTTCGGAAATATCCACACTTAAAAGGAGATCAAATGATGTAGGATGGGATTATAGTACCTTAGTTGATGCAAAAAATTTGGACAGAGTAAAATGTTTGTTGTGCGGGAAAGTTTTATCCGGTGGAGTGTATAGAATGAAAGAGCATATTGCTCATATACAAGGAAATGTTGCTCCATGTTCTAAAGCTACTAAGGATGATCAACTTAAGTGTAGGAATGCAATCAATGAAGGTAAGATGAGAAGAAAAAAATAAAAAAGTTAGTGAAGATAATTTAAGAGCCGAGGTGAATATTGATAGTAGAAGTGAGTGTTGACGAGTTGCAAGGGTCTCTTGGATCTACGAAGTCACCACGTTCACTTGGCCCAATGGATAAGTTTGCAAGTGGCATCAATCCCGAACCTTCAATGAATTTAGGAAAGACATTGCAATAACAACGTATTTATGATGCACTATGTAAGGAAATGACAAATAGAGTGAAAGAATATATATGTAGATGGACATATGAGGCCGATATTCCTTTTCATGCATTTGAAAGAGATAGCTTCAAGATGATGTTAGAAGCAGTTGGACAATTCGGTCCCGGAGTTGAATCACCAAGTAGATATGAGATGAGTGAAACATTCTTGAAGAAAGAAGTGGATAAAGTGAAAGAGTCTTTGAAGATACATGAAGAGGAGTGGAAGCAAAATGGATGCTCAATCATGACGGATGCTTGGACCGATAGAAAGAGAAGAAGTGTAATGAATTTGTGTGTGAATTCAACTTTAGGCACCGTTTTCCTTTCTTCTAAAGAATGTTCACTTGATTCACACACAAGTGAATATATTTATGAGTTTGTTGAGCATGTCATTGAACAAGTTGGAGTTGAAAATGTTGTTCAAGTTGTCACGGATAATGCCTCAAACAACATGAGAGCTTCAAAGTTATTGAAAGAGAAGCGGCCAACCATCTTTTGGACTTCTTGTGCCACCCACACGATAAATCTAATGCTTCAAAGCATTGGAAATCTCCCAAGGTACAAGAAAGTCCTTGATCAAGCAAAGGCTTTAACGATCTTTATTTATGCTCATCACAAGACTTTGGCAATGATGAGAACTTTCACAAACAAGAGAGATATAGTGAGGTCTGGTGTGACTAGATTTGCATCTTCATTCCATACTTTGCAAAGTTTAGTCGAGAAGAAGATTGAATTAAGGGAAATGTTTTCTAGCAATGAATGGGAGGCATGTAAATTTTCCAAGATAGCTAAAGGGAAGGTAGCACACACAACCGTAACAAGTTTGGGATTTTGGCAAGGTGTAATGGCATGTTTGAAGGTTTTTGCACCATTGGTGAGAGTATTTCGACTTGTTGATTGTGATAGCAAGCCATCAATGGGGTTTGTATATGGTGAGCTTATGAGAGCAAAAGAGGAAATCAAACATGCTTTGTCCGATGTCCCAAGGAACTATAAATTGATTATTGACATTATTGAAGAAAAAAATGAAAGATAGGCTTGACTCTCCTCTTCATTTGATGTCATATTTGTTGAATCCTTATTATCATTATAAGGATCCATAACTTGATTTGGACGAAGTTGTAGCTGTTGGAGTTGTTGATTTTTGTGATATTCTATTCGTCAATAATTTTGACATGCAAAATAAGATTTTAAGTGAAGAATTGTCAAAATATAAGAAGACAGAGGGGATGTTTGGAAGAAGTATCACAATCAAAGCATGTGAGGTGAATGATGACAACTTTAATCCCGGTAAGTCATTCTTTATTCTTTAATACTTTATTGTTTACTTAACTATATTTATTTATTTATATTTATTAACTATTATGAACTTTGTTTTGTAGCAAATTGGTGGTCAACTTTTGGTACCTCAGTCCCTTTATTGAGAAGAATAACCATGAAGATTCTTTCTTTAACATCTAGTTCTTCGGGGTGTGAAAGAAATTGGAGCACGTTTGAAGGGTTAGTAACTTAATATGATATTTTATTTAGTTTGTTATCAACTTGGTATGTTAATATAAATATGAATTATGATAGTTAATACTTTATTAATCATTATTTAAACTTTTGAATGTTTTTATTACTTGAATTGTAGATACATACAAAGAAGAGAAATAGGCTTGAATTATATCGTCTCAACAATTTAGTTTTTGTCCAATTTAATGCTACTTTGATGAACAAGAACAAGCAAGATAAAAATATTGAAAAGTTGGTTGGTAGTGATGCAAGTTTAATACAAGATTGGATTGTGGAAAATCTTGAGAATGATGAGATTGAGCCGGGATTGGATTGCAACAATAATGCTATGGAAGTGGATGAAGCATTACAACCCTATAGAAATGCTAGATTGAGGGATCTTGATGAAGATAACTTTGAATTGGAAGGGGAAAGTGAGGAGGAAATAAATGAAGTGGAGTTTGAAGATGATGGGCAATGTGTTATTGAGCAATATGGACAAGATGAAGAAATTGGCAATGATCCTATTCAATCATGATTCATGAATCACTTTGGATTTCAAAATTTTAAATTTTGGACTTGAATGTTGAATGTTAATTATGTTGTAAGTTTGTAACTTGTAAGTTTAAACAATGATACTTGGATGTTGTTTCATTAGTTGGATGATTAAATGTGGTATTGTTGTTTGAGTAATTGAGTGTTTGACTTGTTTAGTTGTTTGAAGGAATGTATGATAGTTTATTATTTGGACGTGCTATTTGATTGAATGTTGAAAACAACTTCATTAAATTTGTCAAACTGCAAGTCTACTACTGTTTTATAATTTTCTTTTTTAGAGCCCGCATAGCGCCGCCTAGATTCCGTCTAGGCGCTAGGCACTGCCCGGCCGCCCAACTAGCGCCTAGCGCCTACTGCAACCTTTTATATATATATATATATATATATATATATATATATATATATATATATACATACATACATACATACATACATACATACATACATACATACATGCTTTGTTCGTTTTTTTTTTCATATCAATAACACAAATATTTTTCTCCTTCATTCCTTCTATCTGCAACTTTTCCCATTCAGCCATTCTTCATCCCTTCTACACCTTCCCGTCCATGCACAACTATGGTTGAAATTTTGAAATGGTATCAGAGCGTTAAGGAAAGAAAGTGTGATTCTCTATCATGGCATGGCAAAGCAAAACCTCTATTCCTGGTATAGGGACTTCAGTCCTCCCTATGGCTTCTCCGCAACGAGCATAGAATTGGAGTGTTCCGAACAATCAAGCTGCTTCGAACAAGCCACAAGGATCCCACAACCGAGAAGATGAGCCTAAGATTTAAATTGTGGTCAATCCACAAGACTCCAATAATCCATATCACGCTTCTCCAAGCGAGAATCCTTCGCAAAATCTCATTTCCATTCTGCTGAATGGAAATAACTATTATCCTTGGGAAAGAACCATGCGCATGGCTCTACTGACGAAGAATAAGCCAAAGAAAACAGAAAGAAATTTCCTTGCATAGCGGAGAGCTAACAACCTTGTGTTCTCATGGATCTTGCACTTTGTCATTCCGAGCGTAGATCAAGGAGTTTTGTGGATGGAGACTGCGGAAGAAGTCTAGAATTATCTCAGGAAGAGGTATGGCCAGGGCGATGCTTTCAGAATCGCGGATGTTAATAAAATTGATCATTGAGAAAAAGAATCTTATAAAAACAAAATAACTTTTACTCCCTCATATTGTTTTGATTTATGGAACAATTCATTAGTTCAGGATCTAGTTCTATAGTCATCTCTGAAATTGCATCAAAGTCAAATTGAGTTTGTACTTGCTCTTAGACATAGTTCAGAGATCAGGCGTTTGCTGGAACATGAAGATCGACGACTAGAAGTGAATAACTTGAGAAGTCAAGTTCAGAAGGAAATCCAAGACAGTTTGTTTGAGCTAAATTCAGAAGATCGACTATAAATATCTATAGATGGGACTGATGCAGAAGACAATATTGAGCCTTTTCTATCCGATGATGATGAAGAGGTAAGGGAAGTTGGGAGGACTGGTAAGAAACAAATTGAAGAAGACATTGATGGGCTGAAAATACAGACAATGATGAAGATAGGCAGCAAGCTAGAGGTGATAGTGGATTTGAAGACAGACCACAAACTGGAAGTGATAATGGATTTGAAGACAGACCACAAACTGGAGGTGATAGTGGATGTGAAGATAGGGCTGCATTTTGTGAAGATTATGATTCCGATGACCCACTAAGTTATGAAAGTGAGGATAATTTGAATGATGTTGGTGATCATTCTAGTAAGGTTAAGTTCCCCTCATATAACCCAAAAGTTTATCCACCAATTCTAAAAGCAGGTTTGTTGTTTGAAGATAGCAACCAATTTAAACAAGCCATAATTAGTTATGTTGTGGACAAAAAGAGAAACCTTAGATTTACTAAGAATGAGCCAAATAGAATCAAAGTTAAGTGCGTAGAGAACTGCCTTTTCTACTGTTGTGGTCGTTGGGATAAAAGGTACCGTTGTTTTCAACTTAGAAGAATAACTAATGATCATAGATGCAACACTACAGTGAAGTTAGGTATAGTGAGCCAGAAGTGGCTAGAGGATAAGTACAAAGATAAAGTCATTGCAGACCCAACAATTGGTATTGTGGAGTTGAAGAAACATATTGAGTCAGAGCTCAAAATCACTTTGACAGTTAGCATGGTTAGGAGGGCAATCAGGGCAATTGTGAAGAAAGTGAATGCTGGTTTTGATGATCAATTTAAAAGATTAAGAGATTATGCTCAAGAATGCTTGAACTCAAATCAAGGGAGTACTGTAATTATAAAAACAAATAGAGTTGTAGAAAATGTTCTTTGCACATTTCAAATAATTTATATATGGTTTGGAGCTGATGGGTAAATACGCACAGAAGTCTGATCCGTATAACCGGTCCGTCACGGTCATGAACCCGACATGACTAAAACACTTGTGGTCAACCGTACTGTTCGTACCAATAGGCCTCATGACAAGAGAAGATGCTCTCGGATCACCCTTGGAATTGCCCCGACGAAAATTCACCCGACCGGTCTACCGTAGGGTAACCGGTCAGCCTGCAAGATGACGTAGCCTGTAGAGCCGAAAACGTAACTTACACGATAAGTTATAAGGGCCAACTTGCGCCTGCAGAGCAGCGGCTGACAACCTGCAAAAGTAGTGGCTTCGCCTCATCGATCAATCAACCTACGCATAGTTGCAGAGGGGCCGCCTGACTAAGCCAAAGAGAAAACGACAGTATAAATAAGATGGTCTCCTCCTTACTGCTTACTTGTTTTCTGAGCATTCATACTTACTACTTACTGTTTAGGATTTGGATATGAGTATGTTTTACTGCTTACTTGTTTTCTGAGCATGCTTACTGCTCACTTTTTAGGATTTGGATACGAGCATGTTTACTGCTTACTGCTTGCATTCTACTTTAAATTACCTGATTTCTGCTTATGGCATAACTGTTATGTGCATTCTGTTGATATTCTTACTATGTAGGGGTTAACTAATGTGATCCAACAATTATTTCCAGAAGCATAGCATATAATGTACTGCAATCATCATATAATAGTTCAAGCATCTCCAAAGACTACTCTACTCCCTTAAAGTAAAGTGCAGCTACTTGTCCAGATCTGTCTTTTTTAATATACTTCATTAAGTGAAGAGATGAAATCTTATCTCGGTTAATGTCAATTACTTCTACCTCACCCTTTATATATGACAACCTAGAATTTTTTGCAAAGGTACCTCCATGATGATGTATTAACTCAACTACTTCAAACATCCTATAACAACAAAATATACAGAATACAGACACTTTAGTGTAGACCACAATAATAAAGCATTAATCAAAACAAGAGTAATATTTTCTTTTTTCTTTTTCAATTTTAACATCTATGGGTATTGAAGAGTTGGAATGGTGTCATCTACATAAGAAAGATTATTTCAAGTTTGGGGAAAATAAAATACTTGAATATGATTTAGAACATGGAAATAGTAATCATTTACTGTATATGAGCATATGGTAGATATAGATAGAAGGTGGATCAAAGAAATATACGCCAACTTAATAGTTGGTTACTGCCTGCAAATATTTTTATAACTGTGTTATTATAAAACCTAGATAAGCTCAACTCAAAAAAGAATCAATTCAGATTCAAAGCAAAAAAGGACACCATCACAAATATGAAGCAACACCATCAGTAAAAATTTAGCAAATACATATGACGATGCTAATTGAAGCATAAGATGACCATCTCCAGGCAAAAGGGGTAAAAGACTCTAATGTTGACTAGAAAACAAGATCAATGCTATAGGTATATCCTTAATATCTATTAGTAAAGAAGTAGTGCCAAAGACCTTATGGTCAAGTAGCATAAGCGACTCTAGATAAGAGGTTACAAGTTCAATCCCCAACGCCCTTAGATGTATCCAAGAAAACCAGTAAAGATGCAAAAATTGATGTAAGCAATATGTAGAGTGAACCCTAATTTCAAAACAGCAGTAATACAGTTCATATTACAGTTGAGATAAATAGTATAGAAAGAGACCACAACGACAACAGAGTAATTATATAAATGAAAAAAAAAAAGTATTTCTAGAGACCACAACAACACACCATGTCTCCATTATCAACTACAGAGAGGGGCCAAAGCATTCACACACTGTTTTCAACAAACCAGGGAACTACAACTAAAATTTACAATACACATATCAACATAACACATTGCCCACACAAATTTGTGAATAAAATATCTACATAAAACTACAACTATTAGAAAATCAAAATTTACAAACCAACATGCAATTAACTCAACACTATCAAATCAAGCTCTAATCGATTATTACCTCTTTACACGGAAGCGAAGTCGTCTCAATGTTAACTACCAATAGCTTTGTAGTTCCTAGTCTCTTGCACTGATCGATTGAATTGAGAGAGCGAGTTAGGGTTTAATTCGATTGTGAGTTGAGAGAGCTAAAGTGCGTAAGAGAGATAGAGAGATCGACGATATAGGTGAAGATAATTAGAGTTTAATTCGATCTGTGAAATTTATTATTATTTTTTTAAAATAATTCCACTTAGAATAGATAGTGCAAAACTTTATCCACATTGACGACAACTAAGCATTTACCGGTTGGGTTAGGAACAACTGGATTTAATTGACTTATTTTACCGATTTAAGAGATTTACACAAAACTTTTTTTTTTTTTTTTTTTACTTAGGGGATTAATTGCACTATCGGGTTTACTTAGAGGTTGATTTGATCATTTTCCCAAAGTTATTTAATCTTATATTAGGACAAAAGAATTATGGTAAACTGAAATTAACCATAAAAAAACTAAATAAAAGGAATAAAGGTCAAATAGGCCACTGAACTGCACACGAGAATGCAATTAAGCCACTGAACCTAAAAAACATACAATTGAGTCCCTAAACTAACCAATTTCGTTCAATTTGTCTATTTTTCAGGTTTCTCAAGTTACTAACAAGTTACCCATACACCTAAGATGCTTATGTGGCATTTTTTAAAAAATAATTTATTTTTAAATTAATTTTTTTAATATTTAATAAATAAAAACTAAAATAGTTTATTTTTAAATTAGTCTTTTAATGCTTAATAAATAAAAACTAAAATAATTTGTTTTTTTTTTTAAATAAAATAATTTGTATTTGTTTAAAATTCGCAAATCACCAATACAAATAATTTGTTTTTTTTTTAAATAAATAATTTGTTAATTGTTTTATTTGTTCCTAGCCACGATACAGTAATTGAATTATATTATACATTTGGCAGTAATTAAATTATTTTAATACTATACATTAGTAGTACTATTGTTAAATGGAAAAAGTAAAATATATTATGCATATCTAATTTGAAGGTGGCTGTGATGAAGTCTGCAAGAAATTTTCTTGCGATTAATCTCTTTGACCTAAACAAGGAATCCGATTGTTTAATAGGAAACAAATTAATAAATTAAATTATTTTAGTTTTTATTTATTAAACATTAAAAAATTAATTTAAAAATAAATTATATTTTTTAAAAATACCACATATGCATCCTAGGTGGAGGGGTAACCTGTTAGTAACTTGAGAAACCTGAAAAATGGACAAATTGAATAAAATTGGTTAATTTAGGGACCCAATTGTAAGATTTTTAGGTTCAGTGACCTTAATTACATTCTCGGTGTGCAGTTCAGTGGCCTATTTGACCCTTATTCCTAACTAAAAAGAAGAAAAATCTTAAGCTGTTTATCACCGCCGAGCTTCCCCAATGGCTGTGGTGGCGCCACCGCTCTTCCCCTACTACCCTCGCTACCATCAGCGCCCTCCGTTCACCCCGCTTGCTCATAGCATAGTAACTCTTCCCACTTCCCCTTCAGCAATTCTCTCAAAATCGACACCTCTTTCAGCTTCTTCTACTTCAGAAGCCTCTCAGTTCAGTCTCCCCCATGAGATAAATCGACTCTGTGAATCCCAAAACCCAGCAGAAGGCTTGAGCTTTTTGCAAGAGAATCTCAACAATGGCGCCTTTGACTCGATTCAAAAGGCCGAGGCCATAGGTGCGCTGTTGCGGGCCTGCGGTAACGAGAAGGACCTCGAAACTGGGCGCAAGGCGTATGAAATGATCTGCGCATCGGCCTTGCTCAGGAATAACTGTATTCTCAATACTCAACTCATCACAATGTACTCAATGTGCGAGTCTCCTTTAGATTCTCGGGCGGTTTTCGATAGTTTGCAGAACAGAAATTTGTATCAGTGGAATGCTCTTGTGAGTGGATACACCAAAAATGGGCTCTGGTGTGATGCCGTTTTGCTGTTTATTGAGTTGATAGTAAGTGCAGAATATCGGCCTGATAATTTCACGTTTCCGTGTGTGATTAAGGCTTGTGGATGGCTTTACGATGTGGGGTTGGGAGAAACTGTTCATGGGATGGCAATAAAGATGGGTTTCTCAGCTGATGCGTATGTTTGTAATGCCTTAATAGCAATGTATGGGAAGTTTGGGTTTGTTTCCGAGGCCGCAGTGGTGTTCGATAAAATGCCTGAGAGGAACTTGGTTTCATGGAATTCAATGATATCTGCTTTTTCAGTTAACGGACGTTTCCTACAAACTTTTGATCTTTTCAGGAGAATGTTAATGGCAAAGGAAGTTTTGATTCCGGATGTTGCTACATTAGTGAGTATATTACCAGTTTGTGCTGAGGAAGGAGAAGTTGAAATGGGAAAACAGATTCATACTTTTTCTGTGAAATTGGGTTTGAATGAGGAGTTAACAGTGAACAATTCCTTATTAGATATGTACAGTAAATTTGGGTGCTCAGATGAAGCCAGGATTCTTTTTGAGAAAAATGAGTGCAAAAATGTAGTTTCTTGGAATTCAATGATCGCGGATTATTCTAGGGAAGGAGATGTTAAGGGAACATTTTGTCTTGTGAGGGATATGCAAAGCCTTGGTGATGGAGTAAAGGTTAATGAGGTTACTATATTGAACGCTTTGCCGGTTTGTTCAGAGGAGTCGGAGCTGGTGAGAGTTAAGGAACTGCACGGGTACTCCATTAGGCATGGGCTAGAGAGTCATGAATTGTTAGCAAATGCTTTTATTATGGCTTATGCAAAATGCGGTTCTCTTACTTCTGCAAAGCATGTCTTCTATGGCATGGAAAATAAGACGGTGAGCTCTTGGAATGCTCTTATAGGTGGCTATGCACAAAACGGAGATCCATCTGAATCTTTCAGACTGTATCGGAAAATGATAGGTTTAGGTTTTCATCCCGACTGTTTTACCATTAGTAGCCTTCTTTTAGCTTGTGCTGAGCCGAAACTGCTACAATATGGTAAACAGATACACGGGGCTGTGCTTAGGACTGGCTTAGAAACGGATCCGTCTATTTTTGTTTCATTACTTTCGCTTTATTTTAACTGTGGAAATCCATTGTATGCACAAGTTTTATTCAACGGGACAGAATATAGAAGTTCAGTGTCGTGGAATGTAATGATTGCTGGTTATTTGCAGAATGGTCAAGCGGATGAAGCCTTACGCACCTTCCATGAATTGGTGTCTCTTAGGGTCCAACCCGATGAAATTGCAGTAACAAGTGCTTTAGCAGCTTGTTCAAAGTTATCGGCTTTGCAGCTGGGCAAGGAAATTCATTGCTTCGCATTAAAGGCTAATTATACTGATGATACTCTTGTCCGCTGCTCGATTATGGACATGTATGCCAAATGTGGGCTAATAGGATTATCAGAAATTGTTTTCAAGAATTCGGTATTAAAAGATGTTGCACCGTGGACGGTCTTGATTTCAGGATGTGCAGTTCATGGACTTGGTACGAAGGCTATTAAGCTATTTCAAGAAATGCAAGAATTCGGTCTGAACCCTAATAGCTCTACAATTACTGCTATTTTAATGGCATGTAGCCATGCTGGGCTCATCGAAGAAGGTCTGAAATATTTTGGCGAGATGCAGACTTTGTATGGTGTAAGACCTAAATTGGAGCACTATTCATGTGTGATCGACATGCTGGGTCGTGCAGGACGATTTGCCGAGGCATTAAGTCTTGTAAACCATATGCCCGTGCAACCGGATACTGGGATTTGGAGCTCGTTGCTAAGTTCCTGCATTTTTCATGGCGAGTTGGATTTGGGAAAAAATGTTGCTGAGAAATTGTTAGATTTAGAGCCAAATAGAGCAGAAACTTATGTGTTGGTCTCAAACTTATTTGCTGAATCTGGGAACTGGAATGATGTAAGAAGGTTGAGAAGGATGATGAAAGAAAGAAACCTGCAAAAGGATATTGGCTGCAGTTATATCGAAGTTGGGGGAAAATTTCATAATTTTGTAGTTGGTAACAATATACTTTCTGAATCTTAAGTTTTGGTACGAGAATGCCATGGTGGATTGAATTCATTATATCTTGTGAAGAAGTTTAGGTTGGTGATGCTGGTCTTGCAGGCTGTAGAGTTCTGTAATTTAGGGCTAATATGGACCACTAGTAATGCCTATTACTTACCATATGATGGGCAACAAGATGGAATTGATTTCAAGAATGGTATGCTTGAGCCCCGGGCTTATCGTAGTGGTTTGTCGTCTAACTTGATGTCACGATTGAAGACGTCAGTACGGGGGTCTAAATCTCACTGAATGGAAAAAAGGTTCGGGATGAAGGTGCGGATTAGATCCCTTGTGCGCACATAATTTACGATTTACCTATGCAGTGGCTCTAGGGTGGGTCCTATTGGCTTAGGATTAACTCTTTTAAGCTGCCCTAACTTGTATAGAAGATATTATAATATCTTGTTTGTTGTTGCTTATACTACTTCGTTTTTATTCAATCTGACCCTCCAAGGAATCGCAACAATTCAATGACTCCCCACCCCTTTCATTTTTTTGATGTAACACAAACAAATGGTTAGATAAAATTACAAGTACATACCATACTCCAATGGCATTGTAATTGATAGGCAAACTTGAAGAACAACAATGAGCAACATTAATAGATACTAAAAGAGCTAACTTTACATTTACATTAATAGATAGCAAAAGAGATAACTTTACAAAAGAGGGCAGTGCCTGAAGCACATTCTACTGCTCATAGGGGCGAAAGGAAACATGGTAGGGGTAGGGGTGTAAACGAGCCGAGTCGAGCCCGAGCCTGGGTATGCTCATGCTCGTGCTCGTGCTCGTTAATGATAGCACTGCTCGAGCTCGAGCTCGTGAACTGATGCTCGAACTCGAGCTCGAGCTCGAGCTCGAATTCGAGCCTGAACTCGAGCTCGAGCTCGAGTTTAGGCTCGAATTTGAGATCGAGTTTAGGCTCGAATTCGAGATTGAGTTTAGGCTCGAATTCGAGATCGAGTTTAGACTCGAATTTGAGCTCAATTTTGATCTCGAATTTGACCTGTTTGATTTAAAATTTAAACTACTTTTGTTTTATGACTTTTATCCATACATAATTATTAAAGTATTTTAATTTCCCTCCCTAATTATTATTTTTATATACTAAATATAATATAATTATATTATATATTATATATTATATAATATATTATAAAGCTCGCGAGCGGCTCGTCGAGCCGCGAGCCTACAATGCCTAAGCTCGGTTCGTGCTCGTTTAATCCACGAGCTACTCGAGCTCGAGCCGAGTTCGATTTTGACCGAGTTCGAGCCGAGCGTTGACCGAACCGCTCACGAGCGACTCGCGAGCGGCTCGGCTCATTTACACCCCTAGGTAGGGGGAGGGTCGAGGAGATACTAGTGGTTCTCGTTCGGGGACGAGGATGAGGAAGACGTTTCAACAATATTAATGATCATGGACAAAAGGGATGCACAAAAATCAAGTGAAATTCAACAAACCACTCGCCATAAGCAGATTTGTTATTAAACCATCTCCAACCTTCTCGCCATTTCACCAAATCTCCATCATATTTGGCGTTGCACTGTTCACCTTGCGCCAAATCTGATTTTTTTTTTTTTTTTTGCATTTTGACCCCTGCTCTTTTTGTAATTCTTTTTTTTTTTTTTTTTTGTTTTGTTTTAGTTTTAATATATTTGTGTATTTTGTTAAATTGTTAACTATAAATTTTATATTATTAAAATTAATTATATCATTTGAAAGATCCCATCAAAGACGATTAAAACATGTCTAATATTAAACATAGATTAATTAAAAATGAAAACACATAAAGCTTAATTATAACAAAATTAAAGAAAATTACATACTTAATTTAAAGCAAACACATAAAGCTTAATTAAAATTACTTTAAACATACTTCAAAATTGAAAAAATTGTTAAGGATAGAAGCATCGACTCCTGAGGTTGATATAGGTAGAGATGAAAGAATTGTCTTTGAAGAGTTTCTTGCTCGACATAGGCAAACCAAAGATAAACGCATTATGCGCTTCGTGATGCATTGATCGAGCATATGTGGGAACATTATGGTAATTCTGAAAATTAAATATAGCAAATGTTCTATGATTTATTATTGTGAAATAAATAATATTTGCATTATAATTATATTGTATCCTTTTTTGTTTTTATATATTTACATACTTCGTCAAATATTAAACATAAATTGTATATTATTAAAATAAAATTATATCATTTGAAAGATCTAATCAAGACGATTAAAACAAAACTAATATTATATATAATTTAATTAAAAATAAAATTACATAAAATATAATTAAAGTTTAATTTATTAAATTACAACTATTAGTTTTGTTAAAATAATAAAAGTATAAATATAAACTTTATGAGGGTGTAGGAATAAAATTTGGTGTAATGGGTTGAAGATGAAAAAAATTTGGTGTAAAAATAAGCTGGGAATATTCATTTTGATGTAAAATTTGGTGCAGAATTTAGGGGGGTGTATTCAATCATAACTTTCATAGAGTTTTAAAGACTTTTATGGGTTTGGAAGTATTCAATTCAAACTTTTAGAGAGTCTTTAAAAGTCAGGCGGTATTCAATCAAGATTTTTAAAGAGTCTTTAAAAGTCATGTGGTATTCAATTAAGACTTTTTAAAGAGTCTTTAAAAGTCATGTGGTATTTAAAAAGTTATGAACTTTTGTAGACTTTTTAATTTTAAGACTTTTGTAGACTTTTCCTTCTCAAATAGAAATAGTTGAAATCCAACCATCAACCCCAAGATTTCAAATTTTCTTTCTAACAACTCTGAATGTTTTCTCTCTCTATTTAAACTCTATTTTTTCTCCCTATTTAAACTCTATAAACCTATCTTTTTTTGAATGCCTCTATAAACCTATCTAAATTCAATAAAATTATTTTTTCTTCATTATCCTATATTTTCCTCATACCTAAACTCTACCAATTTTTCTCTCTCTCCTAAACTTTAGAATCTTCATCTAGAAATTCGAAAAAATATTATTTTTACTTCATTATTTCTTGTTTATATTGGTTTTTATTTTTTTCTATGAATTTTTTATCCCTAGCTTTCTCTAATTCTTCCTAAATACATGAACAAAGCAAAATTTTCATCGTCAAATTTTAGTATATGTTTCATAATATTCATATAAATACTTATATGTTTTGTTTTTTTTTTTTTCATGTTTATATTCGTAATATATATTTTTCCTTTTTTTTTTTTAAACAACAGGTTACTACGTATAGCGAATTACTATTCGCAACAACAATTTAGAGTTACAAACAGTAGCACCTTCTTGTTGTTTGCAGTCTCAAATTGCTATTGCAAATAATAGTTCTTTGCGTGATGCCTAGCAATATGTCAAGGATAATTTTATATATATTATTAATATTAGATTTTTATTTTTTTATTTTATGCAACTTGTAATTATATTTTTAAATATTTTATTTGATCAATCTTTTATTATAAATTTTATTGTTCAATATTGTTATGAATTTCTAATGAAACAGTTTTTTTTTTTTTTTTTGTTGATGTTTATTAATAATATATATAAGTAATTAACATATAAGTCTCAGCATACTATGGATAAAAATAATAATGTTGAGAATGTTGATGTGGGTGAAGAACAATATAATAAGAAGAATTTTATGATATATTATAAATGTTTTGTAAGAAAATTATAAATGATAAGAATCAAAATCATTGAAAGTTTGTAAGGATGTATTCAATTTAGAATTTCAATGACTTTTGTAGACTTTTTAAAATAAAAAGTTGATAAAAATCTATGAATGTTTTTTATATAGACTTTTATAGAGTCTTATAAAGTTTTAAAAAGTTTTGAACGACTCTATGAAAATCAATCAAAGTTTATTAAAATATATCATTTTAAAAGTTTTTAAAACTCTACAAAAGTCATAATTGAATATACCCCCTTAGTACAGATAGTTGGAGATGGTCTTAGTGCGATTGCGTGGGACATTGGTCTCGCATCTGCCGCCGGCACCCCAATACACTTGGTTGAGGCATATAAAAAAGTGCAAAAGGAAAAATCAATGAATGAGATGAATGAGATTAAAGGTGAATCACATCATGTAGTTATGCCTGATGATGATGATCTCCTCGAAGCTGAGCTCGAAGACTTTGGAGACAATGAGGGGTGTTTGGTTGAAGGAAAGAATTAAGAAGAAAAATAATTGTAATTCGGTGGAAAAAGAATAAGGTAGGAATAATGTAGAAATTTAAATTACATTGTTTGGTAGGCAGGAATAGAATTATTGGGGATGAGAAGGAAAATGTGATATAAAGACTAAAATACACTTATACAATAATAATAGCAATAAAAATCAAGGATAGTAATGTCATTTGATCTAACTTTCCTTTCTCAAATTCATTGTATTGCAATCCAACCAAACACTGTAATTCAGGCTTTCATTGAATTACAATTCAATTACAACCAAATTATATTCAACCAAACGCCCGTGAGTGATCGTTTTTATCTATTTTTAGACTTTTAAATTTCATAAAATTACTGCTATGTTTTCTTTTATTTGCTCCATTGGATATTACTATTATTATTTACAAGAGTTTTACACTATACTTTATAGTTTTGTTTAGTGAGTATTGGTATATTGTGTCTCCTATGTTGCGTTAAATTTCAAAATTTAATGACCATTTACTTTAAATTACGGCATAAGAAATTGGATAATCCTAGGTAAAATATGATGAGTCGGATTTTAATAACCTTGATTGGACATTATATACATGTCAAACAAAAGTTAAAGAAATCCCAAAATTACATATTTTTGTTGTGACATCTAATTTAATATACTATTGATTAGAATCTAAATCTGACTCACTACATATCATAGCTATTTCCCTATACATCAGTACGTGGTTCAAAATCAAACATTTTTCCATTTGCGTTTTATAATTAGTATCACCATCATAGCGTACCTCTAGGGACTCTTTAATAAAACTAGGTATACATTTTGTTATAAATAGTAAGGTACGCTAACTTCATACTTTATGAGAATCGGTTCACGGCATTAGGAGGAGATATGTGCCCAAATGAATTCAGAGAAATTTCGTGGAATGGAAAGATCTTCATTATTTAAACCTACGTACTAGTTAGATTGAACTAGAAGTTCAAAAGATAATCAATTTGCAATTTTAGCAAATAATCTGCCAAATATACCTTTTGATCATATTGATCATAAAAGGGTGACTAAGCCCCATACACCTTCCCAACATAGACCAAATATATCTATCGATACTCCTTGGCGTCAAGTGTAGGAAATCTATCCGTGTAGAATATAAGAATCATAAAACTAAATTTAGTAAAGAAACTTTGTCACTCTTGAAATTTTTTAAAGAATTATGTCCTGGAGACATTCGTCCAAATGACAAAAAAACCTTAGTAAATTTA